TGTGTGTGTGTGTGTGTGTGTGTGTGTGTGTGTGTGTGTGTGTAGAGATGGGAGTGGGGAGGCCCGGCGGGGGAGGTGGCTGTTGTGGTGCAGTGATCTCACCCATAAATGATTTATGCTCCATGGACTGCTGTGTCTAGCCCAGCAAGAGGAAAAGTGATCGGCTCGGTAAATAACAGCAGCAATACCTGAAAGTAATGTGGCTGTTTACGACTGGGAGCTGGGTGACACCATCTCTGAGCCCTAGTGGAGGACGAATGGGCTGAAAGGGGGCCACTGCCTCACTTGCTCTGTCTCACACACAAACACCCAGAATCTCTGTTCTCTGAAAACAGAAGGATGATCATGGGATTTATTTCCAATAGCCACAAGGGGATTGACGGCCAAACCATGTGACTCTTGGTTCAAAAGGAACATTTGTTCCCTGCTTCCAGTGCCGTTCCCAGGACTCTTGATATATGACTGCACCATTAAAATGACACAAGCGTTTAATGACGAATGTATTGATGCATACTGGGGAAAAATAACACAACTTGAGGGACGAACGTTTAATTTGTCACTTATATTTAAAAAATAGAGACCAGCAGTGTGTTTTATCCGGAGCTGAGCAGAGGACGTGGTAAAAGGATCAGACCCTGGAATAAGAACCAGAGGGATGAAAGAAATCATGTGCTTCAGCTCAACTGTCACCTCTGGCCTTAGACCACCCACCCCCAACCCGTTGGAAACACACTCCATGTCTAATTCTTGTGTTAGATTCTTTATCCGTAAGAGATTTCAAGTGATAATTGAAATAATTGTATAAGGTCTGCATTTGCCCTGACAAACAGCTAACACACAAATGCATGGAGTCACTGAACCCTTGTATTTTTGAGTTTGAGGCTTAGCTGAGGAAAGCAGACTCGGTTAAGCTTTGCCTGATATCACTGACATTACATTTGCTTTTACCAGGAGTAAGGCACAGCAAGATCAGATTGCATAACATCACATCCTCCCTTCTCTTTCACTTAAAAAAGTATATATGCATGTAATACACAACGTACACTACCACATGCATGCATCCATATTCACTAAAATACACAACGCACACTACAACATGCATGCATCTTTATTCATAACAATATTCAACATGCATGCATCCATCTTCACAACAGTACACTATCAACACTGCAACATTCATGCATGCACATACACTACAGTCTAGGCAGTAAGCTGCAAAGTCATGCTCTACAGATTGTAGCACCATTATGTAACATTAAGCCCCAGGTAATTATGGTTCAGTGTGGGCTTGGATGGAGCATGGATATCTGAGATCACGAGTGTCATGGAATTTTAGCAGGATTGCTCTCATACTACTGTAAAGCTTAACAGAGTAAGTGGCCCATAACAATTCTCTTTTGGTCTTCATCTAAATCATCCCTCTTCTATGCTAAGCTAAGCTAGTATTAAAGGGGACATATGATGCTTTTTCAGGTTTTTCGTTCAGGTTTTTTTTTGTGTGTAAAAAAAGGTCAAATTAAGATAAAAAGCCCAAAGTCTGCAAAATAGTCCACATACAGACAACACTGCTCCTACTCAGTTATCCGGCTGTTACTTCCAGCAATTTCTTGAGTCATGTGACATCACAGATCCCTGAATTTGCATAATACACGCCTTGTGGCTATAGTCCAGCGTGCAGCCTGAAAACAAAGCCAGGCGAAGAAGACCAATATTTACTTCAGGAGCTGAACACAGTTAGCCTATCGCAACGAAGTAGGCCAGCCGGACAGAGGCTGAAAAAAGGAGCTGCAGCAATGGGCAGTATGAGCATAGTAATGTGTTTTCTTAAAATTACAGCATGTAAACCTTTTCAAGTAGTAACCCAAATCAAAATTATGAACCTGAACAAGCATTATATGTCTCATTCTGAAGGAGTATTTCAGTATTTCAAGCCGATAAGCTGCAAAATTCAACTTCACCACTAGATCTCACTCATCTCTACACACTGAACCTTTAAATCCTGTCCCTAAAGAGAAATTGTCCAATCAAAGTTAAGCAACTATGCTACACACATCTGTCAAACTCTGGATGTATCCACCCTTCAAAGTCGGTGTGTAAGTGCCTCAGGAGCTTATAGTTGCCTTATGTAAATAATGCATTGCTCTGATGTTACCCTAATTGGCTAACTAGCTTGCAGCCTGCAGTATTAAAAGGGCTCATCATTATCTACATCGTTTTATGGGCTTAAAGGTTGCGTTAAAAAACCTACGCTGAACTTTGGAAAAGTTTGACAGGGTGACTATTCTCACAGATTGATGCTGATACCTTGAGGGTAAGAGCTTGCAATAATTCCATTGTAAAACATCAGACGATAATCTAATCTGGGGAGGAAATATAGATTCAGTGCAGAAGCCTTTAGTCGTCTAAAGACTACACCTTCTTGGGCTTTGTGCACCTTCAAAGGTTCATAAAAAAATAGTGGTCCCTGAAGTGAAACACAATTTCTGATTCCTGGATCGTGTTATACAGAGGTAAGGGTTATAACGGTGCTCCTGTGTCCCATGGCAACCATTAGAAAATTAAAAGTGGGTTTGAGATGTATGACACTGCCAGAACTAGTTTTTTTTTGCAGTAGTTGTCCTGAATTATTAATCCTATAGCTTTTCTTTCATATCATATCTTTTGTTCAGTTCCATCAGTAACACACCGATGTGTGTTAGTGCAGCGACAGTAAATCAAAGATATGAAACCTGGTCCTCTCCTGCTTTTTTCCCTCATTCTCCTCCTCATATGATCTATGTCTCTGATAATCCTGAGGCCATCACATCCCTAACAAAGCAGCGGTCACAGCAGTTTACTGTTCATTGACCCATCTCTTCCCTGTGACCTGCGTTTCATAGAATAAATGTGGGTGAAGTAAACCAGTTGCACCTTTTAACACCAGGACTATTCCATCACTTTTACACTCACTGACCCTTGCACTAACTGGTCTTGAACACGTTCATACATATTGTTATTACCTTCAGGTTATGTTTTCACTTGCCCTGTTTGTTGGTCTAATAGTTAGCAGGATTATCGATTCAATTAAAGCGACTGGTGGACTGATGGGGCCTGAGCCTGGGAATTAGCGAATTGGCATCCGCACGAATTGTACTTTGGTGCAGATGCCAAAAAAGAGGCGGATCCAGGGATTTGTAACTATGTTTCATTTCCAGACCAGACCAGTTCCTCTTTTCTATTACATTTACATTTTCTATTACTATAAGAACCTGATAATCAGTAATCATAGTATAGTTTGACCTCGGCAGAAGTATGTGCTCCACTGAGTTCCATATAGTTTACTATCATAGACATAATATAAAGATGGACAAAATGTCTCCACTCCAAATGTCTTATTTTCCCAAAATAAATGTTTGACTTTTATGGACATTCCTCTAAGACACTTTAATTAATGTATGAGTAAGAAGTATAATATCGTCTGTCAACAGCAACGGATTCCCATGTGGAGGTTGTCAACACCTTGGGGTCTAACAGAGCATGGCGGTAAAATAATAACTGCCGCCAGTTTGTCTTCCCCAGCAGGATTCATTTGGATGAGTCAGCCTTTTACATGCATGTTTGTCTCCCACGCAGAGGCAAGCAGCGGAGCCTCTGTGTGTGTGTGTGTGTGTGTGTGTGTGTGTGTGTGTGTGT